CTTATTCAGTTCGACCCCAACCTTCCATTAGTGCTGGCAGCAGACGCATCCCTCTTTGGAATCGGGGCAGTATTAAGTCACAGGCTTCCCAATGGCTCCGAGGCTCCCATTGCTTTTTTCTCCAGGACGCTCTCTGCAACGGAGCGTAATTACAGCCAGATCGATAAGGAAGCTCTAGCAGCTGTTGCAGCAGTGAAGAAATTTCACGAATTTCTCTTTGGCCACTTTTTCGAGCTGGTCACGGACCACAAGCCCCTCCTGGGTCTACTAGCTGGGGACAAACAGACCCCTCAAGTCCTTTCTCCTAGAATGACGAGATGGACCCTCTTCCTAGCGGCCTACTCCTACAGACTCATACACCGCCCAGGTAAAACATTGTCCCACGCTGACGCTCTCAGCTGCTGTCCCTTGCTGGCTCCAGCTGAAGACCCTGCTCCTGTCCACGCTATTTTTGAGGTCACCCAATTGGACCTCCCCATCACGGCCCTTGACATTGCTGCTAAAACCAAGGCAGACAAAACACTCGCCCAGGTGCTGGACTGGGTGAGGAGGGGGTGGCCGGGTGGTAATGTTGAAAGCAAATTCACACCTTTCAAGACCCGGCTGCAGGAATTATCCAGTTTGCAGGGCTGTCTACTGTGGGGCACTCGAGTGGTCATCCCGACCTCACTGCGTACCCGAGTTCTGGAGGCGTTGCACGAGGGACACCCTGGCATCGTCAGAATGAAGGCATTAGCACGCAGCTACGTATGGTGGCCGGGCCTCGACGAGGACATCGTCAGATGGGTAAGTTCCTGCAACATCTGTCAGGAATCCCGTCCTGCCCCTCCTATTGCCACCCCTACTAAATGGGAGAGCGCCAACGCTCCGTGGTCCAGAATTCACATCGACCTGGCCGGCCCATTGCATGGGAAAATGTTCCTAGTGGTCGTGGACTCCTATTCTAAATGGATTGACGTAGCACAGCTATCCACGACCACCACACAAGCAATTACCAGAGTATTAACTCGCCTGTTTGTAACACACGGGCTGCCTGACTCCATTGTCTCCGACAATGGCCCACAGTTCGCATCAACCGAGTTCAGCCGTTTTGCTGCCAACCTGGGCATCCGCCACATTTTCACAGCCCCATTTCATCCTGCCAGTAACGGATTGGCTGAAAGAGCCGTCAGGACCACTAAAGAAGCCCTGGCTAGGTTCAGCAAGGACGATTGGCACCACAAACTCTCGTGTTTCCTGATGAGCCAGCACTCAACTCCATGTTCAGTCACCAATAAGTCCCCAGCTGAGCTCCTGATGGGCAGGCGCCTGAGGACTGTATTGGACAGACTTCACCCACAATACTGCCCTGACTCTCCCCTCGCTTCCACATCGGGGGTTAGACGTTTTATCTTACAGGAGCCCGTATTCGCGAGGAACTTCGCTGGAGACCCCCTGTGGATCCCGGGCGAGATCGTGGCCATCACCGGACCCAGGTCGTATCGAGTCAGACTGGAGGACGGCCGTGTCTGGAGAAGGCACCTGGACCAGCTGCGTAGGCGTCACAGCACCCTCGCTAGCAGGGACCCAGAATCACAAAACGGAGGGAGGCCTCAGCATCAACCCCACATCAACATCGTTCCCAGTGACCAGCTTACACCAGCAGCCATTCTAGAAAGCCTGAACACAGACAGCGGCGTCCAGACGGCTGACCAGTCTGATCCAGTCAACGGGAGCACGTCCCCAGTGACCAACCCTACGAGTCCCGGGCCTGCCCGAACCGAGGGGCACGTTGGTGACATTTTACCGGCTCTGCCTTCCCAGACAGACCCTGAATGGACAGACAGCATTCCAGAGCTGCGCCGTTCCGGGCGCCAACATAAACCTCCTGCCTACCTCAAAGACTATGCGTGTTCGCATCTGGGGGGAAGGGGTGTTATGTCCTGGGAACTCTAGGAGTTCCCACTCAGGTCCTTTCACTTTGCGGGGGCGTTCTTCCCCTTCACTCATTGGTTGGTTCTCCCCAGCAGCCAGCTATAAAAGCAGGCTGCGGGGTCCAACCAGTTGCTGATCGCTGCGAGCCAGTTCCAGGCTTGGCAAGCACGGTCAGTCCTTTATTACTATAATAAAGTATTGTTGCACTCATGCTCTGGTTCAGCCTCTCTTTTCCCAAACTTAACAGCTAGCCCTCTGCCAGAGAAAATGGAGCTCAGTTGGGGCAGGGGTGGGGACTTGTATGGCCCTCCCGAGCTCTGTTTTCATTGTCAGAGGCATCGCAGGCCAGTCCTTCACTGTTTCCAGGGCAGCCTCATGGGCCAGATCTAAACACTCCACGGGCCGGATCTGGACCGTGGGCCTTGGGTTTGATTCCCCTGGGCTAAAGTATGTTTTATAAGCAATATTCTTTCCTACCTTTATACTTTTTCTCCTTTAAAACTTGGATCCCATGTTCTCCTCTGACCTTGAGTTAATCTATGCTATTTAATTACAGCAGTTTAAAAGGCTATATGGCTCTCTAGATGATTCTTTCCAACCTTACCTCAATCTTTGGTCAACTGCCAATTGTCAAAATTATAGCCCAACAAAGACATGCAAATGAAATCCTTGCTTGACATATGCTGGGCCCACATATGAAAAAGAAAAAAAAAAAAGAGAGAGAGAGAGCCTTCTTTAAAATAGAACTCGGCAATTTCTTTAAGGTCACTTATGGACTTGAATTATTGGCTTGAGAGAGAATTTCTAGCCAAGTCATCTGATTGGAAGAAGCTAAAACAAGGTTTTAAATTCAGCTATTTAGAAACGGGAGTAGCCCTGCTGGACAGATTGGTCAAAAGGTGTGAAAAGAGAGAAAAAGCACACACACACACACACACACACACACACACACACACACCCCGAAAGGAACAAAATTAATGTCAGTCTATTGGGAAGATCAATGCAATCTAGAGAAGATTGGCTAGGATTAAAGATTGGGAAAATTTAGCCAAAACGCTACTTCTCTCATAACCCTGACATCCCCTCTGGCAATCACTCTCTTTCAGACCTAGAGTTTGTATAGTGCTAAAAGGCACCTGGTTAAAAATCAGAGACCCCAAATTCTAGTCCTGCCTTAGGCACAATGTCATCCCGACAGTGGTGAGATTCATATTTTTTAACTACCGGTTCTGTTGATGTGGCTTGGTGGGCATGGCAGGGGAAGGTTACTGCAAAATCCCCATTCCCTCCCTACCCCATTAACCTGCTTTCCAGCTCCATTCTCCTGTGCAGGTCAACAAAAGAAGACCCAGCCAATCAGCTGGGACTTGGGAGGCAGAGAATAGATGGGGGCGGGGCCAATCAGAGGCGATATTTGCCAGTTCTCCAAACCACTCAAAATTTCTGCTACCATTTCTCCAGAACTGGTCAGAACCTGCTGAATACCACCTCTGCATCCTGATGACTTTGGGCTAGTCCCTCTTTCTCAACTTCAGGCAGAAGCAAGCAAGGGTAAACCACTTCCAAAACTCTTGACAAGAAAACTGCAGGGACTTATCTAGGCAACCCCCAAAATCAGGACTGATATGAAGGTGCAAAAACACCCAAGCAAAGTCAGACCTGAATGGAAGACCATATTTCAAATCTATAACTAGAATGAGATACTAAAAAAAAAAAATACTGCTGAAGAAAACAGTGGCAAGATTACTTCCTATACTATATGGCTGCTGTCCAAAACTTCATGGATGTGCCTGTGTAGATATCATCAGCTGATTTTGAATTGAAGGTGTTCTCAGTCAGCTAGCGAGAAATTCTGAATCACAGGTTTTCCATCTTTGCAATAAAGAATATGACAATTTTAGGAAACTTACCTCCAGAAATTGTGAATGCTCCAACAATGGAAGTTTTTAAGAAGAGGTTGCACAACCATTTGTCTGAAGTGGTATAGGGTTTCCTACCTAAGCAGGGAGTTGGACTAGACGACCTTCAAGGTCCCTTTCAACTTTGTTATTCTATTCTGTTGGTGTTCTGTTCTGCTCTGTTCTAGTCTACTCTAGTCCAGTTTAGTCTAGACTGCAATGAAGGCATCCTATTTTTCCTATTTACTTTTAGTTCATCACATTGCAAGGTGCAGCTAATCCTCGACTTGCAACCACAGTTGAGCCCCAAATTTCTGTTGCTAAGCGAAACATTAGTTAATTTAAATTTTGTCCTATCTTACGATCTTTCTTCCCAAAGTTGTTGAGTGAACCACTGCAGTTGTTAAACTAGCAAGAGCCGTGGTGGTGCAGTGGTTAGAATGCTGTATTGCAGGCTAATTCTGCCCACTCGCATCAGTTCGATCCTCACCGGCTCAAGGTTGAGTCAACTTTCCATCCTTGCGAGGTGGGTAAAATGAGGACCCAGATTGTTGGGGGCAGTATGTTGGCTCTGTAAATCACTTGAGATGGCTGTAAAGCATTACGAAGCGGTATATCAGTTTAATTACTATTGCTACTGCTATTAACACAGTTGTTAAACGAATCTGGCTTCCCCATTGACTTTGCTTATAAGAAGGTCACAAAAGATTGATCACATGATCCGGGGCACGGGAACCATCATAAATATGGGTCAGTTACCAGATTTTGATCACGTGACCATGGGGATGCTGAAATTGTTGTGTGAAAAATGGTCACTTTTTTCAGTCCCTTTGTAACTTTGAATGGTCACTAATGAACTGTTGTAAGTCGAAGACTACCTGTATATCCTAGTTAATGTCACTGTGACCCATATGTGAAGCTTTAGGTGTTAGAGCAGAGGTCCCCAAACTTGGCAACTTTAAGATTTGTGGACTTCAACTCCCAGAATTCTCCCAACTATGCTGGCTGAATTCTCCCAGCTATGCTGGCTAGAGAATTCTGGGAGTTGAAGTCCACAAGTCTTAAAGTTGCCAACTTTGGGGGACCCTGTGTTAGAGAATCCAAACTGGACAATCTTAAATGGCCGATTTTGAAAACCTCGGAGGTTTTCCCACTTGATTTAATTATGCATATAATGTAACTGCTTACCTTTGGGAGGCTGGTAAATCATTTCGCTACGTGCCATGTGAATTGTGATCAGTCCCATAAGGATAGAAACAAATGGAATAAGGAAACCCAGGTTCTGGGCCACTGACTGCTGGATGTATGAAATGCTGATGAAGACGATGGCTGAACTGAGATTGGTCAACCAATGAAACCTGTAAGGGGAAATGGCAACAATCATTATTTTTAGAGACAGATGGGGAAAAAAAAGAACTTTTATTTGTGAGAAGAAGCTGGTTCCTTTTAAAAGGGAAGTCACAATGCAGTTCCGAATACGATAAATCCAGATCAATGCTCTGCAGTATCCTGGGGTCAAGTGATTCCTAAAGCAAAATCAACGGGAAAGCCAGATTTGCTTAACAACCGTGTTACTGATTGAAGAGCTGCAGTGATTCGCTTAACAAATGAGACGAGAAAAGTCAAAAGTCAAATGGAGCTAATTCACTTAACAAATTTCTCACTTAACAACATACATTTGGGGCAGTGGTGGGATTCAAATTGTTTTACCACTGGTTAGGTGGGGGTGGCTTGGTGGGCGTGGCTTGGTGGGGGTGCTTTGCCTAACGCTGGTGCGTAGCTTTCCCCACACCAGCTGAGGCCCGCAACGCCAATCAGCTGAGAGAATAAAGAAGAGAAAAGCATAGAGGTGGATGGGAGAGCCAATTCTGAGCTTTTCTCTTCTTTTTCCTCTCAGCTGATTGTGGAGGATTTTTTTTCCTCCTCTCAGCTGATCTCAGCCTTTTTTTACTACCGGTTCAGTTGAACCGGTCCAAACTGGTAACATACCACCGTTGATCTGGAGCTCAATTGTGGTCGTAAATTGAGAGCTACCTGTATTCCCTTTTCTATCCTGGTAGGAACAAGCCCACTACGATTTTCGCATGATAATTTCTCCACCAAGGATTTTTGCCAGGTGGCCTTCATTGGACCTCTGTTGGATTTTTTTTAAAAAAAAATCACAATGACAGACATAATTCAAAAGTGGCTTTTTTAAAAAAAAAAAAACCTGGTAATTTTAGATGAAGAGCATTTCAGGGACTCCAAAGGTCAAGACAGAATCTTTGTATGCCAGAAGACGAGAGACTGGGGGAATCCCCCAGTGGGTATTAACACTGAACTAAACTATCTTTCATCTTGTTAGAGCAGAATGGCAGCGGCTGAGTCAGAGCCATATAACTGCCTAATGGGCCAAAGAGAACACAGACAGCAGTTGAAGAAGGGAATAATGATGGGTCTGACTGGAGTGAATTGAGAAGTAGAAATAAAACCAACTCTAACCGCTGCAACCAATTCTACATGGGACAAACTTCACATCAATTAAAAACCAGGATCCACGAACACCGGCTGGAAGCCAAATGCCACGATCCCAAATCCCTCATCTCTACCCACTCTGACCCCAAACTGTACCAGTTTAATTGGAGCAATACAAAAATCACTGGCCGTGTTAACCACCCACCACTGTTGTGGTCCGCTGGCAATCTGAGGAGAGGGCAGCAGAGTTGGACAGTGGGGAGGAACGTGGGCCAGTCTGGGAGTCTGGGGAGGACTTGGACAAGGGTCCCGCGTCTGATACAGAGATGAGGCTAAGGCCATCTGGGAGTTGTGTGCTGACTCCGGAGCCTCCAGAATCTGAAGGGCTGCACTGGCACAGTCTACTTAATCCCACCCTGAGGACTTGAGGGTTGATGAACCGACGTGCCACCTTGTGTGCTTGTGCCGTGAATCCTGACCTGTTGGGACTGCTTTCCTGGACTTTGTGTGCGCCCATTGGACTTGATTACCCAGTGACTCTTGCTGTGCTGAGCTTGGAATCCAAACCTGGTCAACGGGAATACTTTCTGAGAACTTGTTTTTTGGGTTTGAATAAACCCTGGTAGAAATCTTGCTCGTTCTCTCTCTCCTCTGTGTGTGTGTGTGTGCGTGTGTGTGTATGAGGGGAGCGGGGCAACCCACACAGAAGAAATAATGGTGCAGTATAAATCTGCAGAGGGGCTAGGCGACTGGAAATCTACTTTATGAAGAACTGCAATTGTGTACCTGGCAAAAAGCACAAAGTTTCAGAGGAGCCCTTTTCCTAGTTTTACCTGGAGAAGTCATAAATTGAACCTAAGTCCATCTGCATGCATAGAGTCTGTCCTTTTCTTGAGTTATCACTCTTTGGGGCCTCCTCAGTTTACATGAAAATGCAACTCCAGATTGTCCCAGAGGTGCGAGACTCATGTGGGGCAGATTTATATACTATTATATGAGGAATCACAACTTCTCCCTTTCAGACTTTCAATCTCACAAAGGATTTGTTAATTCACCAAACATTTCTACTTACAGATAATGGGGAATGAGGAGCTCAGATAAGCATTAAAATATAGAATTGTTACACATGTATTTTAGACACAGAGAAGCACAGGTAAGTGCTCTTTCATTTACTATCTTGATTAGTATATCCACCCTTAGCAGGAAGAGATATTAAAATGAACTAAACGTGAAAGAGAAGGTGGCAAAGGAAAAATGATATAAACGGCTACAAAGAATATTGTGGACCAGAATCAAAAGGGATAATCTTTGCTCCAGAGCAGTTTACGGTCATATATCCTGAAGAAAGTGGAAGATCTAAACCAGTGTTTTTCAACCTTGGGCACTTTTAGATGGGTGGACTTCAACTCCCAGAATTCCCCAGACAGCATCCATCTTAAAGTGGTCAACACTGAGAAACATTGATCTACACTTTAATTCTTACAGAGATTTTCCCTTTTTAGTTTAGAATTCAAATTGGAATAAAGTCAACAGATTTCAAGTGGAGACAATCCAGAATGATTACAGGTAGTCTTCGACTTACAGTGGTTCATTTAGTGACTGTTTGAAACAACCGAACTGAAAAAGGTGACTTATGGCTGTAGAAAGTTAGTGCCTACCCCTCTCCTAGAAGAATGAAATATTCTAGGAAATATTAAAAAGGCAGAACATTTCCCCTAAAAGAGAAATCGAAATCTTAAGGGACATAGAAACTCAGCACCAGCAGATATGTTGGTACCAGCTTAGACAACTCAGATCCAAACAAGGACAAAGCCATTAAGTCATAATAGGAATTGCCCAAAGCTCCTTCATTGCATCACCCAGCAAGACTCAAGACAACCTACAAAGTTAGTTACCCGTGCATGGCCCCATGGGAGTCTGACAACCAATCAGGATACATTTCTTGCCACAGGAACAGGAAGCAAGTTCAAAGCCCAACAGAGGATATAAATCTCTCTCCCTCTCTCACCCATGTGCTCCATTATGCCCAGGACCTCAAACCATGTGGTCCTGCTGTCCACCATTAAACCATCCTTCCAAGCAGTCTCCATATTTCCAGTGTCTTTCTTCCCACTTGGAACTGAACCCAGATGGACATTTCCTCCAACATGATGTTTTTCACACGTGTGACCCTTGCAGCTTTCCCATGGTCCCATGATCAAAATTCAGATGCTTGGCAACTGCTTCATATTTATGTTGGTTGCAGTATCCCAGGGTCGTGTGATCAGCTTTTGCCACCTTCTGATGAGCAATGGGGAAATCAAATTCACTGAACACTCACGTCACTAACTTAAGAACTGCAGTGATTCACTTAACCACGGTGGCAAGAAAGGACATAAATGGGGGAAAAACTCACTTAAAACTATCTCACTTAGCAACAGAAATGATGGGCTCAATTGTGGTCATAAACCAAGGACTACTTATAGTCAGAAACAAAAAAACCCCAAATGGAACAACTGTGTATCTAGTTTCTTTCAACAAGACTGTACTCCACTTATGTATTCAAACACTACTGAGCTGTACTGATTTTCAGTTTATCTGCTACCAATTTGCAATCTAACAGTTGTAGCGTTACATGATTAAACACACACACACACACACACACACACACACACACACACACACACACACCCATTTGCTAAGGTAGGCCATAAGGAACCTCTATTGGGTACCAGATTGAGGGAGCAAGCTAGCAAATCACACAAAATGCAATTTTTTTAGAACGGTTGATTTCCCGCTAGCTAAACATTTGATCCACTCCTATTTCCTAACGGGGCTTCTTTTGTTCCAATTAATATCATCTATATTCACATCCCAGCTATTATCTGCTTGTTGCTTGGTTAGAAGGAAATAATGATGTCTCCAAGTGAAGCTGCGAGCAATTAAGGTATACCCAGAATAGGCACCTCAGAAGACAACAAGTTAGATTAATAGTGCCTTGCAGTGCAGGGGCCCCCAAAACTCAAAGCAATTACACATTTTCTAAAAAGTCAAATTCAACATGGGCTGGATCTTCTTCCCTCCTTCCTCTCATTTAGAGACACCCCCCCTCCAAGAAATAAAGGAAGAGGGGGAAGGTGCCAACAGTAGTGCCTGGTTAAAGGAGGGGGAGAAAAAAATATACAATGGTTCAATTCACCGATTGCACTAAGCTATCATGCGTGATGGGGTTTTAACAGAATATAACAGAATAACAGAGTTGGAAGAGACCTTGGAGGTCTTCTAGCTCAACCCCCTGTTTAGGCAGGAAACCCTATACTATTTCAGACAAATGGCTGTGCAATCTCTTCTTAAAAGCTTCCAGTGTTGGAGCATTCACAGCTTCTGGAGGCAAGTTAATTGTTTCTGATTAATTGTTCTATCAGAATATTTATCCTTAGTTCTAGGTTGCTTCTCTCCTCGATTAGTTTCCATCAAACATACAAAACATCAAACATACTAAATTAATTTTATATTCATTTAATGTGCTGTATGAAGCCAGCCACTGTGCCACCATTTATAAATGTATTTTTTTTACTACATTTGTAGTTTCCTCCAATTGCTGACAACTCTGGTTAGCTCATAGAAAATAACCATGTAAATAAAGGGTGTCCAATCTAAAAGTCCAGAAACAATTGTTCAGAAGTTCCAAACACACTGAGAAGTCTATCATCCAATCTGATCAGAGGTGGTATTCAGCAGGTTCTGACCAGTCCTGGAGAACCGGTAGCAGAAACTTTGAGTAGTTCGGAGAACCGGCAAATCCTACCTCTGAGTGGAGATTTTACAGTATCCTTCCCCTGCCATGCCCACCAAGCCATGCCCACAGAACTGGTAGTAAAATTTTTTGAATCCCACCACTGAACCTGACCCGTTGAGGTTCGGA